AAATACATATTGTTTTAGGGAGATCTCAACGCCATAACAAGATAACAGCGGAGACACGACTTGCCATTGGTCGGTTTTGAAGTGGAGCTGAAACGAAAGCGGCTTATAGCCCGTGCTGAAAGTAATCGCCTTCACATCATGAATACCATATTTAAAAACGAACTGTATCAAATCGACTACGCGCTGATGGGCACAAGGCCATCTATAGCAGCTATGCCTCGAATCTTACTTCTGATCTCGCCTGGGACGAACTAAATTGGGCAACTGAGAATATTAGCAGTGGTAGACGTTCTGGCAGTGACGGCATGAAATCGGAACATCTCTCGTCAGGAGAATTGACCCTGCTTAATGCCCGATTCACTGTGAGTACATCAGGTTGAAGAAGACACCAGAAATATTGAGTAGATCTTCAACGACGCTTCTGTTCAGTAAAGGCAGTGATCAGGAGCTGCAGAACGATTGATTTATCACTCTTCCATCACAAGTATACCTGATCATCATAAAACTTACCCAGAAAGACCTGGAATTGTTCTCTAGTTAAGAACAAGCCTTTGCCAAACAGCATTCTTTACCATAGACCACATCTACGTCGTAAAGCAGTTAACAGAGCAGTGCAAGAAAAGCAAATTTCCCGCTCTGTGAAGCATTCATCGACTTCAGGAAAACGTTCGGTTCCATCGAGTTGAGCGCTACCACCGATGACTTTACACGATTGTGGCATCAACCCTAGTTTACGATCGAGGAACTTAATTCTGACACCTCAATCGAACTAAAGCCGGTCGAGGAATCACATCGAATCAACATCAAAGGAGGAGTACAACAACGAGACATCGCCTCTCCTAGGCGTTTCTCTACGGCACTGGAACGCCTCCTTAACCGTTTGAACTGGAGTAGCGACATTAACATCGTCAGAGAACAGCTTATCCACCCGCTCCTTGTACAGTGCGTTATTTTCTTCGTCTAAATCTCAGCGGAACTCAAGGAAAAGATTGTGAACTCACGGAAAGAGTCACGTGCCATCGTTGTGCAGATGAACATATCCAAGACAAAATAGATGCGCAACCAGCACTTCATCGAGGATACTATCTTCACCGACAACGAGGAAGTAAAAAAGCCGCAAGCTATGCATACCTCGGCCACCTAATGGGCTCAGATAGCAATATTAGTGACAATATCAGCAGAAGGAAAAAGGAGGCATGGATAAGTTTCAACTACATCGAAACATCGCTATTGGATAAAGAATTGCCTGTACCCACGACAAAAGAACTATTTGACTCCGCCATCCTTCCCGCCATGATTTATGGCGCGGAGTGCTATCAGCGATAAAGGCTGAGGAAAGCAACTAGCAATAACGCAAAAGGCGATGGAAAAAGACTATGCAAGGTCTCGCTTTGAGACCATATTCCAAGTGCGACAGTATGACGTTAGACAATTTTTGCATGTGCTCAGTTAAGTTTACAACAGTAGGTGGAAATCCTGAGTTATCGACTGGACCCTCCTTGGCCACAGTCGTTCACGCGGTGGCCCACTAGCACGCTGGGTCTACCCAAAGACGAAGCTGTTGGGAAGCAAAATGCGGAACGTCAAAAGGAGTAGTGGAACTTCGACTTGCCTCTGTGGTGCGAACGCTAGATACAAAGATTTCTTGAGATTGTCGTGTGAAAACTGTCCTGTGTGGTCATACCAAAACATAATATGAAAAGCCTTCTCGGTGATATACAACTACGAGCTTGTCGGTTCGTACCTGACGGGCCTTCTTCAAGGTGGAAATGATAGTTTTTGGTTGTTCTTTTGAACTCTGACATCTTAGGACTTAGCAAGTTTCATTCCATCTGTTGCAGGTCAGCAAGGACAACTGAAAGCTGCCATATTTGCATTGAAAACGGCCGTAAGGCAGAACCTGAAGTATCGGATTGTCCTCCTACAGGCCAGGTGTTCGCGCTGTTCACCGATAAACTGTGTTTATGTTGTTTCGGTTTGTTGAAAGGAGTTATTCAACTTATCATAGGCTAGATTTCTTTTTAATAACAGCTTCTAGAGCAACAGCGGGTCTATGCACCACATCTATGACTAGCACGAGCATCTGAAGTCTGAAAGCCGAAACTTCACTGACATACCTTTAGGAACAGCTTTTGTGTATTGTTCATATCTGATTAGCAATGACCTTCACTAAGGGCAGTTGATCCAACGACGCACAACTTTTGCTCA